GGCCCGACGCCTGCTGCACGGCTCGGTAAGGCCCCCGCCTCGGGCAGGGCTGGCTCTGCAGGAGGGTTTGGGCAAGCACAGGGCACTGAGCGTTTCCCATGTGGGAAACTGAGGCGTTAGGGAAGGATTTAGTGTCCGGTCTTGCTGTTTGGGATTTAACTGAGGAAGCTGTGAGGAAACCCCTGGGAAAGAGGGGGGCCAGGGAAGGAGGATGAGGAAGGTCCTGCAAGGTGCCATGAGTGCCGCTGCCTGCCCGCCTTTGCCTGCCTTGGTCACTGGGTGCTGGCTGCGCTCTGAAGCCAAATCCTGGCTTTATTTTAAGCCTAAGTGAAACCAGCAGGAGCGTCTGGTCCCTTTACCTGCCCTGGGGGAAGGTGGCCCTTGGGTTTATTTATGAAGGAGATGAGTATTTGGGAAGGAAGGGGGCTGGCTGCTGTCCCCCATGCCACTGGCTCCTTCCACGCATCCCCCTGGCCTCGAACAGCAGACGTAACCGGTGCCTGCCTGCTCAGGCAAGAGCCTCCTCCCTTCCCTCTCCCGCTGACAGCTCTCCAGATGTGGGCATCCTTCTTTGGCGTGGGGCAAAGCTTGGGTGGTGAAGATGGAGGCTGCGAGGAGGGGCAGGGCATGGAGGGCTGGTCTTTACAGCTGCTGACCCTATCCCCTCCTCCTGGACCCACTTCTGAAAGGCGTGTGTGTGTGTGCACATGCACGTGTGGAGGAGAGGTGGTTTCCAAGCCCTTTTGGGCTCTTCAGAAGTGCAGCTGGGGGCCATTTCCTCCCTGGCGGGGTTCCCACCAGATGGGGATGGCCGAGCGCTTGCCCTGTCCTGCTGTGGGCTGTGCAGCCCCTCGCCTGCTCCACGCACGCAGACCCTTGCTGGCGTGCTGGGCAGCTGGGATCTTCTCCAGCCCTGCTGCCTTGCTTTGGAGCCTCCCCCATGCTTCTGCCATGGCTGCAGGCCTTAAAATAAAATAAATTTTAAAAAAATAATAAAAGAATCCACTGAAATTCATTGCTTCCCTGTCTAATGGAGAGGAGATGGGACGTGGGTTTGACTGGGGCCCTGCCCTTCTTGCAGCTGAGGTCTGGATGTATGCTGCGCCGTGCGCTTTGCTGGGGAGCAGCTGCAGCCGCAGGAGTGGGCTGGGGAGGCGTCGCAGCAGGAGCGGTTTGGGGAAGGGTGGTGGGCCAGCTTTTGAGCCTATGCCAGGGAGATGGCCGTGCCCCTGTTAGGACCCTCGGAGGGTGGCTTTATGCCACCAAGAGCGAGGCAGTCCTGTCAGCCCTCGTGGCACGGAGGCGGGAGGTGCTCAGCAAGGGTGAACAGCTTCGGACCGCGGCAGGCTGCATCCCGCCTTAGCCCCGCTGCTGGCCAAAACCCAGCTCCGCTCCCACGAGGATTTTGGGTTTCCATGCCCCTCTGAATGGGGCTGGCATCTCTCCACAGCTGACTCCATCAAGGCTCCCAGTTTTGCCCATCCTGAGGCACTTGTGCACCCCTTTCTCCCCAGCCAGCACCCCACCTGGGTTGTAGGCCCCTGTGGTGAGCCAGAGCGTCTCTGACACCTCTGTTCTTTTTCAGAAACAGACTGAACTCAAACCGCCAACCCCGGAGGATCTGCTCTTACCCTTGAGAAGAAATTTTTGGTCTTTAAGAAACCCATGGGCTGGCCTGATCCAACCTCAGGAGCAGGACGTGGTGATAAAGCACTGCCATAAATGAGACCTTTGAGCACAGCACACAAGAGAGCGGGCGTGCAAAAACTGGGCACTTAGTGCGGAGCTCTCGGTGGCCCAGCCGAAGAGATGGCTGAGAGCTGGCGGGGGCTCAGCTTGCACCCAGGAAATAGGATGCTCTTGTTTGCTTTCCAGTGGACAGACTTTCAGATTTCATATTCATATACCGATGCCTACAGCTGCCTATACAAGCATAATGAATCTCAGACATTGTGTAAACAAGGTCATTGCTTAGATATGGACTATCATGGCACAGTACTTTTGTTTTTGTTTTTTTTTTCATCTGTCCGTTAAGGTGTTTGTTCTCTAAAGGTTGGCATGGCTGCGTATATCCTCTCCACCCTTTCTGGTCCTTAAGCCCTGGCAATGAAGGGCTTTGCAGGCACACAAGTGTGGATGTGCGTGTTAAGAAAGGAAAGGTATGAGAAGAAAACTGCCAGTCTTGCATTAAAGTCCAGTGGGAGCTGAGTGAGATTTTCATCTCTGCGGATGAGGTTAGATTTGTGTTGCATACTCTCCAATAAGTAACAGGTTCCCAGACCCAGACAACCCAGAAGGTGGAGTTTGGTGTCATTGGTCCCTGGCTGGCTAGAATATTTTCCCCTGTGCTCCTGGAGACTGACTGTAGCAGGCTATTAAATCTCCAAGTCTCCCTTTAATCACTGAGAACTAGCACATAATAATTTTTCCATCCTGACCTGGAATCCTTTTCATTGTTCAGAGAGAACAAGCTGTTCTTCAGAGGACAAACGCAGAGAATACGCAGCGTTGCTGTGAGTGGTTCAAGTCATTGTTGTCTCCAAGGGATCGGCGAGGCAGCAGCTCTTCTGCAATCAGGAAGTTTCCCTCTTGCAGCACGACATGACAGATCCTCCTGCAGCAGCGCTGGTAACTTCAAGTGTTTGCTCCAGTCTTATGATCTTTTTTTTTTTTTTTTTTTTCCTTCCTTCCCACCCCCAGTCTATCTGCAATAGTTCTGGCAAAACAGCAAAATAAATTTCCCAGTTAACCTTCCTGCTTCCCGGTACCTGTACATTTTTAATGTGCCCATGTTGTCTTGGGTGGTTGCTGTGTGATGCAACTACTTGAAGATTTTTTTAATATTCTTTTCTAATAGAAAACAAGATCTGGAAGGGAAACTCTTGAGCTGAATAGTCCAGCCAAATGCTGTGTCAGACCATTCTGTCACAAACTAATTGAATCCCAGCTCAAATTGGTTCCATGTCTTGCCTTCACTTTTGCTCTTGGAAGGCTATTCCAGAACTTCACTGCCTTTGAATGGTTAGAAACTTTATTTAAATTTCTAGTTTGAATTAATTCGTGGCTGGTTCGTTCCTGGTTTGTTTTGGAGCCAACATTGTCCTTTAACTTAAATAGTTTTTGGTATTTATCCGCTGATGTATTTATGGAGAGTAGTCATAGCTCCTTATTTTTGCCAAGCTAACTCAGCCAAGCTTTTTCAGTAGAAGGTTTTTATTTAGTGAGAGCTTTTTAATGTGGGAGACTTTATTGTTGGTGGTAACTGATATTTATTAGAAGGGTGGGTGGGTAGCAAGCCCCAAAGGATCGGATCCAGAGATTTAAAAAAAAAAAAATAATCTGGTTTAAAAACAAACCAGCTCTTTCAGAACCTCTTCCAAAGATGGTGTCTGATTTCTACCTTCAATTGCCCTTGCTTTTCCAATTCTTTCTTTATCCCTTCTTTAAGAGGCCGCCTTGCTCAGCTGCGAGGAGGGGCTTTAACTGCTCAGTGCTTTGCGAGAGAGAGGCCTCCTCTCGCCTGGCGGTACGTGCCTACGTGGTAGGTGCCTGCGCCTGGGCTCCCCTGGCACACGGTGTCACCCCCGCGGCCCAGCGTCAGCATCTGCTTCGGAAGGAGGTGACCTGCACCCTAAAGAGAGCCGGGGTGACGTGCTCCTGCAGCCATCCCTTAGCAGTCAGACAAACCCTCCCCGAAACACTGCGAGCAGGGGCGGTGTCGACCCGGAGCACCCTGCTGTGGCACCAGGCTCCCTAAATTTCCTCCTCTTCAGAAGCGCTGTTGCTGGTTGTGCCGTGTTGGAGCCGTAACCAGCAGCCCTCCCACCTTAGCCTCGTGTCGGCTCAGCCGGCAGCACCCCCGCGGCTCTCCTCCGGGAGAGCGGGGCGGCTGCCTTGCGAAGACAGCCAGAGCCCCAGGGGTTCACCCTCACGGGTGCAGTCCTGTGCACCCCGAAATGGCACAGGTCACGGGAGAATCTGGGCGGTGCTAGAGCCAGAGGTAGCAGATCTGGGAGTCGTGCAACCCGAGAGTATGAGTGTGCGTGCGGTGTTACCTTCAGAGAACAAATACAGGTAGGTCAATTTACTCTCTAGTGTCTATGTACATGCAGGTTTATTTAAGTACACATATATACAGTTCAGATATGCCATTGATTCTTTATTGCATTAAGATGTACATTAAAAATGTACACTTTTACTAACTACTTGCTATATAAATATTTTTGGAAGTGTAGTTTGCCCATTCAAGGTGATTTTCTGTGGGATTTTTGGTGTACACTTAAAGGCCTACGGCTAATTGGAAGAGTGATTCCCCGCTCCATCTACAGAAGTGCTTAAGGACTATGGTATGAACTGGTCCCTTTGAACTATTTTTCCATGCACTAGTTGAAATTTTTTGCACTTGAATTGTATTTGGCCAGTTTTCCAGAAAAATTGAAAAGAGAAGTCTTGTGAGCTAGAGGGAGAATTTCCCGGTGTACACAGAAAAACCAGCCTTGAGGGTTGGAAGCTGCTGAGGTTTCTGAGCTTTGTCTCCATGCATTCATACAAGCACAGCAGGAGTTTTCTTTCTTTTCGGTCGGAGGAATTTTAAAAAGTGGTTCCATGCAGACTCCCCTCGGACGACGGTGCTGGCAAGCCCCATTGCGTGGGGAGGGTAAGATTTAGAGACAGGAAAAAAAAAATCAAAAAGTAATCGAGTTCCCTTTCTAACTCCTGTGTTCCTTGTTGTCTGCATTTTTTAGTTGACTTGAAATCTCCATGAAAGTATAAGCTGAAGATTTTTGAGGGTTTAGCTCTGTGGTCCTCTGTTTCCCTATTGCATCATTTTTGAAGCTGAGGGGAAGCAGGTGTCATCTCCAAATAGACTCAGGTTTTGGTGCAGGACATTATGTGTTTGCATCTGAAGCTGAAAGGAATAATTGAGAGGTGGCTTGACAGTCCCAGCAGCAGCTCTTCTGGTGTTAAGAGGAAGTGTCACCACAATTCTACACGGTGTGTGAATATTTATCATCATCTAATCAAAGATGACTATCTTGACTTGAAAGGAGGGGTGTAAGATAGAAGTTGTGTAGCCAGCATCAGTAAGGAAGGGAAATTAAATTCTTCACCTCCATCTGCTGTGTGTGAGCTTGGGCTTGACAGGCACAGTAGTAACCATCATTTTTAATCCATGTGAATCTTGTTACTTGTGTCTCTGAGGCTGCTTAGATTAAGGGCACAATCCAATTGCTTAATAACCTGAAACCCTGATCCGTGCTGTACCTGGCTGGCTCATATAAAGAGCTGCTGGTTCTCCTGATGCAAGGAACAGGAGCTTTATTCGTTAGCAGCAGGCCCTGGCTCTAGGTTTCATTTGGGTAGGTTATTTTTCAGCACCTTAATTAGCATCCTGGAAATCATGCTTTCTTTCTTTTTATTTTTTTAGCAGAACACTAAACAAACCATGATTTTTAGGCTCCTATTTCCACTTGCCTGGGAGCTGGGCGCTGCTGCACATCATGCCCGCAGCCATGGCGAGAGGAATGGGCACAGGTGCTTGCTTCGATGCATGGCATGCAGCGGTCAGAGTTCCAGCTGCAGGTATTTAGAGCAGCTGCATGTCTCCTGCCTGCCAGAGGCTTGTGCTGGTCACCGCGAGAAGCCACCAGCAAAAGCAGTCGCTGGGGGCAGCTGTGACGAAAGCCTCGTTGTCAGCCCCCAGCTGGACGCAGAACCGTAACCTGCCCGGGCGACACGCGCAGGGAAGCTGGAGCTGTGAGGTGCCTGCCTGGCTCATTTTTGCTAGGTGTCCCCTGTCTGTTCAGGAGGAAAAGGAGGACGTGGAAGGCTGGGTTTCCATTTAGGGTTTTGGATATTTTATGGGGTTTCTTTTTAATGAAAAGCAACAATGTTTGGTCACAGGTAGAAGTTTTGTATTCTGTCTTCCCTGCAGCCCCTCTCTTAGAGACATTACAGAGGCAACCTGATCAGAAGGTGATGTTCGGAAGCTGAGGCACTGGGAATTGGAAGAGGAAGGTGATTTTTCAGCACTAGGCACAAATTAGAAAGTTAACATGATGGTGCACCTTCCCATCAAGTTGATAGTATTTAAAAGGCTGTAAACTTCTCTCTCCTGTTGCCCAGATAATTTTGGCTTCGTTCTGCAAATCAGTCGGTGGCCTGAGGTGATTCAGCTCACTGCAGTAACCTCTGTCGCAATTTCTCAGTTGATCACAAAACCAGCAGGGTAAGATAAGGCAACACTACAAATGGAGGGGGGGGGATGAGACACTTGCAAGCTGTACGTTTCTTGATGCTGGAACTAAATTCTGCTGTATGTTTTACTGGCAGCGGTCCCTGCCAGGAATGCTGGATTGGCATCGCCACACTTTAAAGCAGAGCAAGGGAGCTCTGTTACCTAAGCAGTGATTTATTTTATTTTTTTTGTTTTGTTTTCTTGGTATTGCCTGTTCCAGTAAAGAGTGCTCTGTTGGCTGATGTCCATATTTTGATGGCACATTTAAAGTCACTTCTTCCCTGTACTGATGGAAGGTGGTATTAGGAGGACTCTTGCTTACTGGTGCTAGTGAAGGTTGGGCTAGGAATCCATGGCATAGAAAACTTCTTGCTAAAATTGCACTTTCTCTCTGCCCCATCTGGCTCGTGGTGGTGTTATGGGTACGTGGCTGTGACTCCCCTTGCACATACTAACATTGCACTAAAAGAGAGACTTTGGGAACAGCGTGTTGATCACTTTGTTTCTCAGCAGACCACAAAGTCAGCCTAATTGGGGTCTTTTTTTTTTTTTTTTTTTTTTTTTAATTATTGTTATTTAGAAATCATGCTGGTGCTGAATGACCTGGAATTTTTGCTTGGATTTATCCAAAGGAAAATGTAATTGTAGCTGCAACGGGACCTTTCATAAGGGTGGCTGTGCAGCTAGGGAGCAGAGCAAGGGCTCTGCTGCGTAAACCGTCTTTGTACTGGGGAGATGTGGGGGGTTCCAGTGGGGTTGTTATTGTGTTTTTTTTAAGACCACAATTTTAGATGGTCACCTTGGCAATCGTGTGAGACAGGAAATAGTTTTTACTTTTGGTAAAGGTTTTAAAGAGAAAAAAAAAGTGAAGCTGCCTGTGATTGTGGGCTGTGGCTATTACTAGGGCTAGGGTAGCTTGTACCTGCTATGGACTTTACCTGCTCTTATTCTGAGGGCAAGAACTCCCTGTAGCAACAATGCCACTTCTGAGAAGTGAACGGCAAGTTTCCCTTCCTTTTGTATATGTGGATGTGAGGGTGGGCGAGGGGAAGAGCTTGCTTGTACAGTTTGTTGAAATGAAACCAGACATTTTTGGTTGTTCCTAAATAAAGAGCGTAAAAGATGAACATGAGTCGACTGGTGATTGCACTCGGGTTTGGGGAAGCCCCCAGGTGCTGCCCTGTGCCCGGTGCTAATGCTGGGTGAGGGTGAGAGCTGCCCTGCACAGGGGGCTGTTTGCTTGTCCAGGGAAGGCTCAGTCACACACACACACACACACCCCTATTCATTTTAAGAGCTCAACAACTTACCTGCCGGGTATGGCCCCGCTGCGTGCCAGAGCCCAGCTCCTGCTGCAGCCTGGAGTCGCTGCTCATCCCCAGCCCCGTCCAGAAGAGCAGGGTCAGCTGTAGCACATACCCACATACCCTTCTTTTACCCTTTTGAGTGAACAACATTAACCCTGGGGCTGCTCCTTTTTTTTTAAACTCCCTAAAGGCAGGAAGGAGGAGGGAGCAGTGCAGCCCCCGCAGGGCTGTACCCCAGCTCCCCAGCACAGCACCAGCAGGGTCTGCAAAGGGGGCAAAGTGCCAGACACCCGAGCCACCACGCATGTAATACTGACACTTTTATTGTCACTTAAAGCTAGAGTGGCCGTGTAAATGTCGAGTTTCACTACTGGACCCATAGGCAGTGGCTATACAGGTAGGTAGATGCGGTGCCACCAGGACAGAGACACGTGCTGCCTTGGTCACTGAAGGTCCCCCTTGCCCGGTGCACTGGGGACGGGCACAGCAAATGATGGCTGCAAAGGGCCTCCAGCAGCTGCGCGGGAGCAGGATCTCCGGGAATCCAGGCAGAGCCGTGATGGCTGGGGGTTTTTTTGGGTCTCTTTCCTTGCGATTACAGCCTCGTCTCTCACCTGGGCGGCTGGCAGGCTGTGCACACTGATGCACGCCGTTAAGGGCTTGGTGGTGAAGGTTGGTGGGTGGTTGGGGTTGGTGAGGGTTTGGGGTTTTTTTCCCAGTTTGGTTTTTTTTTTTTTTTTAGTTCTCCACTGGAACACACTTCAGCAGAGAAACTGGAAAAGCTGCCTGAAAGTAGGCCATAGCAGTGCCGTTTCCATAGAAACCAGTTCACAGCGTGCCGTGAGATTCACAAGCACTGGAGGTGCTTTCGCCCGCCGAGATGGGCTACAGCCGGTTGTCCCCGTTGACCCGGGTCCTCCGCAGTACCCTGCAGGGGGGGGCACAGAGAGAGGGGACAGCGCTCAGGCTGACCAAGGGCAACACTCTGGTGACAAAAGCTGCCCCGCGGGAGGAAAGCGGAGGCTCAGCACGTCCCCCACGCAGGGGAAAGTGCCACCAGCTGTGGGGTGGCAGCTCCTTGTCCCAACCTATTCCCACAGACCCCAAAGCAGCGACTCCCCCAAGGCTTGGCAAGACTTTCATGCTAAAATTTAGGGTTTCCATGCAGCAAACAAGGCTGCAGCTCCACTCTGGGTTAGTGGGAGGCTGCATTTGCCTGCCTCCACTGAGGAGACTAAATCCTGGGGCGGGTGTGGAGGAGTCTCATGCTTGAAAGAGCTCAAGGAACACTGGCATACCTTCGCTCCCGGCTCTCAAAGTGGTCAGCTAGCTGCTCCTGCGACACACGGAAGTCCTCAAAGGGCTGCTGGTACCGCGACTCGAAGGACCCCTCTCTGCCTCTGCTCGCCAGCAGCTGGTTGGAAGCCTCCCCTGCTCGTTCCCGTAGGGCTGAAGTACTGAAGAGGTTTATTTCGCCATTTTCCTGCTTGGATTGGAAAAAAAAAAAAAAAAGTCAGTTGTAAAGGGCTTGGGATTTCAAAATGTATGTCTTGCAGTAAAGGCAGTCCTGGTGCGGGGCTCTGGCCACCCTGGAGCTGCCACGCAGGGTGTCCAGTGCTCATGGAGTCTCAGGGTTTGCAACGTGCAACTGCTCTGTCTTTAACAACCACTGCTGGCTCCCACCAGCATCATTTTAAATGAAGAAATAAAAGAAACAAACATCTGTCTCTGAAGGCACCCTGCCCTCTGCTTATGCAGATGGCCCTGAGCCAGCCAGGCTCCGTGATACTGAGCTATAGCTTCCCTGGAGCCTAGACAGGGACAGGGACGGAGCAAATCCGCCTCCATCAGTTTTTGCTGAAGGGATTTTCAGGCAAGTCAAACACAGCCCAGGCAGGACCCTGACTCACTGCAGGAGGCGAGCCTGGTGCTTCCCACCCCGCCAGCCCACCATGCGCCACTACAGAGCAGCACTGGAAACTCAGCTGTCCCCCCCTCAGGCCAGGCACCGCTGAGCTCTGCCGCACCGACCCGCCGGCCGTGCGGAGCGGAGCGGGAGCACAGGCAGCACCAGGCAGGGCTCGCTGCCTTTGCTCCTCAGCCCTGTGGCACCGGCACCTTCGTGTGTGCGACCCTGCCTTACCTTGCTCGGGAAAATGTCTATCTTGACGAGCAGGGAAGCCAGCTCCAGGTTCTCACTATAGTTGTTCTTCAGAGGTACAGCTCGGAAACCTACAGTAGAGACAGCCCTGGTGTCACTCGGGGCACAGAACTGAAGGGGGAGGGGGGGTGTCTTTCCAACCCCCCAAGCAGCAGTCAGCCCCGAGGGCTGTTAGCAAAGGGCTTCTTGCATCCTTCACCTGGTTGGGGATGTAACCTGGCCTGGGGACAGGAGGGACTGAGCCAGCCTGGGGACTGACAGCATCCTCACGTGAAACTGTGTCTCCCTGGCTAATGATGCTATGACCAAGCTGGTGAGGACCACCATGACATACCCACCCCCCCACCCGCTTCCCCGAGCACT